TGTGCTTGAAGTGAAAAAAAAATGTAACAGTCATTAGTAGGGATTTTTTATTATGAAGTTGAGCTCTGATACAACGGATGTAAGTTTATTTTGACATACATTAATGCGAATCAGAAGTGGTTTATTTAAAGTCAATGGAGTTACGCCAGTGTTACGACCATAGCGTAAAAAGTGATGCTGTACCTGCGATGCTCCAGAAAGTATGTGAGAGGCGAGGATTTCTTACAGTGATATCTTTTATTGGACCAGCTGCTTAGCTGGGCTAATTAGACAAGCTTTCAAATGCAAGACATTCTTCTTCAGAAAAATTAGTTTAATAAAAATGAGGTTAATTCTTCAGTAAAATGTGTTGCATTCAAAAGCTTTTCTAACTCTATTCCAACTATGTAGTTGGTCCAATAAAAGCTATCACCCAAAGAAACCCTTGCCCCTTGCATAATTCCTGAACCACCACAGTTGCAACATCACTCTAACACTTCCTAAACTCCAATATTAATTTGAAATAAACATGATAATCTATGACTACAAAGCTTAAAATGTTGAGGTAGACATTCAGAGACCAGGTGGGCTGACAGATACTTTTGAGGGCTTTAAGGAAAAAGCTATATGTATGTTGTGGATATGATCATGATTGATTTGGAATTCTGAGATACAGGGAAAGTCAAGTCAGATGATCTACTGCATTAATGTAATGGCTGCGTAATCATTGTGTGAGAGACACAAGAGAAATATTTGCTCAAATTGTGAGAACCAGTAATTATTTTCCTCTTATTGTTTCTGTATGGCTTATGCCTCTCTCAGCTTTTTAGAACATAGTTCTGTACTTAGAGCTTAATTGAAACCCTGGATTGATTAGGCAAAAACTGTACTGTAATTATTGCTCAATTTGTAATCAATTGTGTAATTAGGCAAGCTTGACATGTGATACATAAAAAGAAAATTAGTAAGGTGATGGTATTTTTGTTGGGCTGAAGCATAACCCACTTGATCTTAGTTTTTTCTGGACAATTAGCCACACAAATCTGGGGTGACCTTGTAGCCTTCTTTAATTCCAAATTGATGAGCTTCTGTGTATTTACATTTGATGCCTAGTACTTTACTGTATTTTCTAGTAGTTCGTTTTCTGACAGCCTCTGCTACTTCTGGTGTTTGTTTTCCGTATTTCTTTATGTTTGTTTAACATATTCCTTTAGTTGAAGTTAGAGGTGACATATATTGTAACTACTCTTCACCTTAAGAACAGCACACTAAAAATAGAGGTGTACAATTGCAAACTTGAACAGAAATGTGGGGTCCTTCAGATTTTGGTTACTTATTTGTAGATAGTTAAAAATCAGGCCTCTTTATGGAGTAATAATTTAGCCACCTAATAATCACTAGTCACTTTTGAAAAAATTGCCCGCAATATATACTCCCTATGAATTCTGTATTTCTTTTATGTTCTTAATGCTACTGCAGGAAAGAGGACAATATATTAAAAATAATTTTAAGACTGACATAAAACTAGAGTAAGTCAAGAACATTATGATGTTTACTTTATTTAGCAGTATCTCACTTAGTGAGATCAGTTAATGAGAAAGTGCTTTAACAAATAGCTTGCCCTGAGCTTTTCAGATTCAGCTGTTATTTTCAAAGAAAGACTTTTAACCTGGGAAGACTATAAATATAACTTAATTTGGTGTCAGTCCATTTAAAATGTATATAGTTTTGATATCTGTATTCTCCTTTCCTTGTTATAAGAATTATTTGTGTTTCTACACAGATTTTTCTTTCCACTTCTGATCCAACAGTTAAGTGAAAAGGTTGAATTAGTAATAACTTGATAAGTGTTATTATAGTATAAAGTGGTGTTATAAATTAAGGAATACAGTAGCTTCGATATACAGTAAAACAGGAAAAGTTTGGTTGTGATATCACAGTTGTTATTCATAGGCAAATATCAGGGTGACCTATTGAAAATTGCTGGTAAAATGCATTTGTATATCCTTTCTTCTGCTCTTATCCTAATACGTTATAATATTTGTTATGGTTTTGTATGTTTTCAATGTGTGTATCCCCATATAGGTAAGTTAGGCCTAATTGATTTCTTGAATTAGTATGTAAATGTCTCATCTTATCTGGGATATTTATCCCCTGTCTTGCAGTAGTGCTTCTGCATTGGTTTTTGCCTGGTAGTGAAGTCAGTACATAGTGCAAAATTATTTTCAGGAGCACATCATCCTACTTCATGTGTTTATAACTTCCTGAAGAAAATCACTCTGGAGGATAAAACTTTCTTCTGTCTCATGATAATTATTTTGTAAAGTTTGAGGAAAACCCTTACAGTAATTTTCTGTAATAATGGGATTGGGAAGGCCCTCCCCCCCTACTATTTGCCATTCTTAAATTTTCAAACTAAACTATTTTGATAGACTTGACTATACCATAAAGAGTCAACACTTGAAACCTGGAAGAAGACTGTCACACAAAGGAGGAGGAGAAATGTATTTGCTAGATTTGAAAAATCTTGCTGCTTCACAGGAACCACATCTACAGTTAGTACAAGTACTAAAATACCATTGCTGCACATTTTTTCCCCTGATGCTGTGGCACAGTAGCAGTGAGCAATGAGCTACCAGTGAGCAGTATTGTTGCCACACAGTTAGTGCCTGACAGAGCTGCTGCATGGTTGCAATGAGCTACAGTGTAGTAGATTGTTGCTACTGCACCATAGTGTCTTGTGTAGACGTGCCCTGGGAGTTGGAAAGAGAAACCCTTTAAGGCAGTTAGCCAGCTGTATGGTGCTTTACAATAAAGGGTTGAAGGAGTGCACTCATTTTACTGGCTTCTGGTCTCATGAATATGGTACTAGACTCGAAGCCAATACATGTGGGCTCATTTCTTAGCTCTGCCACTGACTTCCTTTTTTGATGTGCAAGTTGCTTTACCACTCTGTGGATCTTGTCTTTTTAAATTATAAACTCTTTGGGGTAGTGAGTGATGGTCTCTTCCTGTGTGTTTTCACTTACTGCATAGGTGTCCTATGTATTTGTCAAGGACACCTAACCCAGTGGGGCCCTGATCCTTCTTGGAATCTCTAGGTGCTATTGTAGAACAAATAAAAAATAATGCTAAAGCATAAGATTGTATTGTCTTTAATTTAGTATGAATAATTGGCAATGAGTATTTTCTTTGGGTATGTTAACAAATGGGGAAATGACCTTGAATCCTGTACCTTCTAGCAATATTTTTTACACCAAGGCTGGAATTTGAAAGATGGTCTGCCGTATACAATCTTCTGGAAATACCACTACTCCATTTCTGCCTTGCAGCAGCGTACCAATGATGGTGCAATTACTTAATGGACTCATGTTTCTTTTAACTTCAAAATTAATGTGTCATTTTATTTGGCTGAATGTATTATGCTTTTTCTATATGCTCATTGGCTTTGAATCTGCGGGAGTCAGTTGTGTTAGAATGGTTGGTGATTAACATAGACTCCTGTTTCTCAGGTCATCCTCAAAGTCCTTTAGAAGAGGTTTGTTTTATACTGACAGTAAGAAAGGTCATTACAAATATTGTGCTTGCACAAAGAATGGAGTCAAGCAAAAATGTTATTTGCCTATTATGTGTAACTTAAAGGAATAAGACTTTTGCTTCTGAGCTGTACAGTCATGGTCTGCTGTTATTTCCCATTTAATTATTTATTTTGCTATACTGTTTTTTGTGCATTAACCATATACTCTGTGCCCATAAATGCATAGCTACAGGGCATGAAAAATGGGAGTGTATGGAAAATGGAGATCAACCTAGAAATGGGATGTGAACTACTGGCTCCTGGAGAAAGCAGCTCTTTATATTTATGGGAAAAACTCATATAAAAAAACCCCTGTGTTAATTTTTTGAACAAAAGGGAATGTTCTTGTGGCCATCATGGGGTAGGAAGGAGCTCCACAAGTATAAATATAACAGAAACCTATAAAAATAGAAATAAGTTAGAAGTGGCTTTTTAATGTGCTAGATTCATCAAGAAACAACAAATAAACACAGTGTAGTTTTTTTACTGAATTTGACATTTTGGTTGCACAGAACATGGAAAATGTTCCTATCAATCTTGACTGACCTTTGTATGTAAGCCTTTACTGACCTACCTGGAGGCTATGTCTATACTGCAGAGTTAAAATTTGAGTTACCTACATTTGAGTTAGAATGCCTTAGCGTTAGCCTAGCTTGAGTGGAAGCAATTGCAAGGACAATAAGATTGTTGCACAGAGCAATTATATAGCAGCACAGACGTGGCATTTTAACTGCTGATGAGTTGTGCTAACTCTAGCTGTAATGTATGGCCCCTGGCAGTCCTGCCCGACTGAGTTAAAAAAGCACCTTCACAATCAAGTTAAGGATGTGTTGATGGTACTCCGTTTATAACTCAATGAAGACAAACCCAAAGTCTGTGTCCAGAGATGCAGGGGCATGCGCAGCATGAATTTCTGCAGTGCAAGCCCCTGAACGTGCCCTTCATTGTGGGACAAATTGTGCCACAACAGGCAAACTGCCCTTGCCCGGCTCCTCCTGGCTCTTCAGCTACTGTTGCTGGCCCCATCAGTCTTACCTGGTGGCCTGGAATAGCAGGGGCTCAGCTCAGGCAGCACAGAGGCCTGGCCGGCAGTCAGAGCATTGCTCTGGATGACCCAGCTTCTGTGTGTGCTGATGTATGCTTGTTGGGCATGCACCCTGCCACCTTTTTTTCTTTTTCTTCTTTTGTTTTTTTTTGCTACTGGGAATCCTGGTAGCAAATTTTCACCCTGTCCTGAAAATTTGCAGCACAGGGAACATTTGAACATTCACTGCAGGCAGTTGCAGTGCCACAAAGAGACTTGCGGCACTGCAAATAGCACATGGCTGCCCATCTGGATGCAGCCAAAGGCAGCAGGGGCTTCAAACATGCTGAAGCAAGAAGTGTACTTTCTTTAACTATTTGTTATACAGGAGGGACTGACTTTGCTTTTGCAATGTTTCAGGAAGCATTCTCTTCAAGTGTATGTCTGTGGAACCTGAAAGAATTACAGAGCAACAAGAGAAAATGCTGTTAATTCTAGAAGAAAAGTTTCCAGATCTACCACCTCGAGAAGAAATCATCTCTGTTTTTCAGGAGACCCAGTTGAATGCTCAGGGTAATGCAGTTTATTTTTATTCCTCAGGCACTCGGCAAATTTATTATGAGTTTACAGCTAGATAGAAGGGATCATCCTGTAAGATGACAGCAGATACCTTAAAATATCTTTATTTGCACTAACATGGGATAGTTGCTTTTAAATGACTGATTTAAGGGGCATGCAACCCCTTAACCATGCAACCCAGGTTTCTGAGGAGAAACCACTGAGGTTCTAAAGACTGAGGGTGACTTTGCAGCACAAACATATATGAACCAGCTACCGCATACATTTTTTTATTAAACATTCGTCCTGGTGCAAGGGGACATAACAGAGCACTACAACAGAACTTGGCAAGGTACAAATACCACTTTAAACTATTAACAAGGAGTTGTGTACATCTTGGGGATGGACTTTAAATTCCGAAGCCAGCAAGACCACACCTGCATAGAGTTTGATTACTTGGTCCTTATCTCAGTGGAGTGAAGTTTACCTGATAAAGCTTGAAATATCAATTATTTTAATAATGGAAAATCATATTTCTCCCTCACTCAAATATGAGACTGGACCGTTTTGCTCAAAATCATCAAAGCCATTTAGAGATCAAAATTAAAAATAGTATTTTTGCTAAGGGTTCCTGGATAGAAACAAAATTCAGTGAAACATGACACTTCAGAGATGCAATTCACAAATGAATTAAGCAGATTTAATTGTTTCTTGCAGGTTAAGTAAAGCAGATCTGGTTCTTCCAAGCTCTGTCATATATTGCCTCTGGATATACAGCAAAACTTGCGTTGGCCTTTCTTTGTTGCCATGTCATATTGTAAACTTACGTTGTTTTTGCTTTTCCCTACTATCCTTACACGCCTTTGATTATTCATGCTTCCTATTTCCCTCCTATTAAATTAACCCTGTTTTGGATTATTTCAGACCCCCTTTCCTTCCTCTCCTCCTTTGGATATCTATGATTTTTTTTACACAGATAAATCACATTAAATTTTGTTATTTTCATATTCATGATCCTCTAGGCTCCTGACTGTTTTAGCTAGTTTAGACCAATATGCTGTTTTAGCCTATCTTGTAAATCATTAATGAAGATGTTAGATAATATTTAAAAGGCCATATTCTGATGGTGATTGTGTGCATCTACACGAAACATTTACTGCACAGTTGACTAATTAGCTGCACAGTAAATGTCTCAGGATCTACATGTGCGCCCCTATTAGGCTGGAGTAAACTAATTTACTCCACAGCAGGATAGTACTTGTAAATATGGAGTAAAAAATATAGCAGTGCTGGCATGGGTGCTGGAGGGGCTGACTGGGGCATTAGGGTGCTTTGGTATGGGGGCTGCCTGCTGGCTAGCTCCATGCTGAAGTACCCTCATGCCCCAGACAGCCCCTGTGTAACATGTTGAACGGTGGAGAGCAGCTCCAGTTAAGCACATTCACTACTTGAATTGCTGGTGCAGCAGTGTGGCCTGGACTCCAGAGGTGAGCTTCAGACTGGCAAAGGGCATGGGGGGGTCAGGCCCAAGCAGCAGGTAGCTGTGTTGGGTGGTGGAGGAACTGGCTGGGTGACAAGGCTCCTGCAGCTGCCAAGCCATATGGCTAGGCATCAGGCAGGAGTGTGATGCCCTGATGGCTGGGATGACCAGGTGCAATTTACATTCAGGTCACCATCTACATGTGTGTTCCTGTGTGTGATGAAAGAACCTACTTGTGGCCAGTCACCATATTGGCCATTCCTCCATCTAAGGCAGTCTGCCCTGTTTCACCTGCCATGACTTGTTGGGATATACATGATATAATAAGCAGGGAGCTGCCCATTTTAATGTCCCAGTGTCAAGGAGTATACACATGGCTCTGACCTTCCCTTACCGTGTCCCATGCCTTGCAGATGGCATCCAAAATTATAGTTGCTCTGGACAGAAGCTGGACCAAAAACTCTGCCCCTTGCTGGGTCTCTCACAATCTTCTCATTCTCCCCCTCTTGCAGGGCCTCATTCACACTGCCCCTCACTGGGCCACTCAACCCGCCCTGCTCCTTTGAGCAGCCTTTGGGCCATCAGGCTTGCCTACACACACTCTGGGTGATCCTCCTGCAGCCCTTCAGGTGCCCGTTGCAGCCTACTCTATGGGTGATGGTCCTTATATCTAACACTAGACTGACTTTAGCCACAAGCCTCTGTCCAGGCATTTGGCTCTTCCTGCCCGCTTCCCTGGAGCCACTCTCTCCCCCTCACTGGGGTCAACGCTATGCCCCCTTCCTGGGGCTTGCGGCCTTACACCCACAGGGACTCAGGGTTGTCACTCAAAGCCCTTAAAGTGACAGGCACCAAGGTGCTCTGTCACACTATTCAGTATATAACTCTGCAGTAGGATAGAACTTGTATTTACAAGTACTACCGTGCTGTGGAGTTAATTAGTTTCCTGTGGCCTAATAGTGCCACATGTGTAGATGCTAGATGTGTACTGCAGAGCTAATTCCTCTATGCCTCAGTCTAGTGTAGATGTGCCCTTTGAGTAATCCTGTTGTCTTCAGAGGATGCAACCCTAGCCCCAGTGAAGGTAGTAGTAAAATTGCCATTGATCTAAATAAGACCAGGATTGCAACTATTAGTACTATTCTGAATGTGTAGAAGTAAGCATGTTCATATAAGTAACTGCAGGTTGGTGGCCCATCTAAGTTCTAAGTACAGAGATCAGACAATAGATCTAGGCTCACAGCATAGAGCTTAGAAGTCCTCATAGCCCTTGGGGTTTCCAGTCTCTATAGCAAGGATCCTTGATGGAGTTCTCTCTACTTCTGGGACTTATAAGCCATAGTACTGTTATTACTTGAAAAAACAATTATTTGTATATGTGAAAGGAAGATCAAGAGCAAATGAGGCCACAATGTTTATATTTGTTTGTGTCTTAACTGATTCAACTCTGAATGAGTTGAAAACATGCAAAAATGCATTTTATTTATATAAATGCACTACATGTCAACTTTCTGGGGATGATTAGTGGGTGCTTTCATCAACCAATAATACCCAATGTACTTCCAGATCTGAGCCTTTTCAGGTTCACTGGGGAAAACTTAATGCATGAGTATCTTGGACATGCTGTTCTTTTTTATATCTATTCCCCTAGATTTAAATAAGCACTATCAAGGATGTAATTAATTCTATGTTATGAATTAAAATAACAAATATTAAAAACCAGAAGATTGAATGTTAAGGCTCAAGTTCTGTTCTTAACTCATGCTGTTGAACAACTCTAACCAGATGAAGATATTGAACAGTTTTTTTGTATCCCAAACAGGTTTAAATATAGAGGAAGTAATGCTGAAGGATCTCAAGGAGCTATCAGATGGAGAAATTAAAGTAGCAATTAGCACTGTGTACATGAGTCTTGAGGTAAGAGAATATAGTTATTAAACAACTAAACTGCATATCTGTAACCAAGTCTTTCATCGTTATCCGGGAAACTTTCTTAAGATGGTGTATGTAATTTGCTCTTTTTTAAACTCAGTAATTATTTGTGGCCTGATTTTCTCCATTGCTATACATCTGGTTATGTTTTCAGATAAAATTCACTGACAATGATTCATAAATGCAGTGAAAAATTAAACACTGTAGGTTATGTGCTTTTCTTTCATATTGCAGTAGGCAGTCAGCTAACTCAGGCCTTGCCTTATCTTCCACTTTCATAATACCTGCCCTTTTGTACAGCAGAATGAACAACCTTTCAACTCCTAAGGAGAGGGATTGGCTCTTTTTGACTTTTCTAAACTTACCTTGAAACCTACCTGCAGTAATTTTGGTACTTCCAGGATTCACAAGAAAACCTTCCAATTTGTTAATCAAATGGGTGCTTCCCTTATACATTTCTTGTGTTAACAACGAGGGAAGTCATCTTGTTTGTGAGCTGGGTTTCAGTATTTTGCCTCTGGACTGACCCCACTTAAACCAGAATGCTCTTATTTAAGGTCATGTGTGTGTGCATGTGCATGCATAATAATTAAGCCTTTGTAGCTATGAATGTTTCACAGAAGTTATCTTTCCTCTAGCTCTGGGTGTGTCAATGGCTCACAGGACCTTTGGATCCAGCCTGTGGATGTGGGACTTTCGTGGCATTCAGTGGTGGGGGCTTTGGCTGTGGGTGCTTTCCTGCATCACCACAGGGAAAAGGGTAGCAGAGGGGTATTAGAGTCCTCAGTTGCTCGCCTCTGACCTGGGGTGGGTCATTTTAGCCCACAGCCAGGAAAGATGGTTACCCCTGCTCTAGTGTACTGTTTTAAATGAGCATTGTGCTGTCATAACTTTTTCATGTAACTATTGAAAAGTAATTGAAGCGGAGCTCAAATCATTCGAATAATGACTGGCTCTGTCACCTCTTTGTGGGTATGAGGCAGTGGGCACACACAAGAAGCCTGCTTTCTCTTTTGTGCTGCGAGAAGCAACTAAGTGTGTGGGACTGAGTAGTATAGCCTCTGAGCAGAACCAATGATGTTAGTGATTTTCATTACATGACAAGGATAAGGCAGGAGGATAGGGCATCTGTTGTATATATTGATCCTTCTCACGGGGGATTCCTTCGACATAACCCTTCAGAAATAGTCTCAGTTCAGTTCTTACACTGATTTGTATACAGGACAACTCACTTAAAAGCATGACATTTGATATTATTGACTATGTTATCCATCGTGTATTAGCCAAATCCTCCCTTGACGGCTAGACAGAGTGCCAGTTTAGATAAAAATACCTATGGCTTTGTTTCACTTGTTTCAATAAGTTTGACAAAACCCCCAAATTCCTGGCTACCGCTTTTATGCAGAAAGCAGGGTATATTTGCACCTTAAAGGCTAACTAAATCAGAGATGAAAAGCTTTTGTAAGCTTACCCAATCCATGGATGATTTCTGGATCCACAAATTCCCATTCAAATTTATTTTTAAAGTTTTGTCATCTTAGATGAACTTGAATGGGAAATTGCAGCATACAAAATCATCCACAGACTGTATTGTATTAAATATGGTTGAAATGAAGACTATGGATTCTTATTCTATTACCTGGATTAGCTTTTATAAGCAGTATGTCCCTCAATGGGAACTGCTTCTTTTTTCTTTCTTCTCCTTGTCTCTCTCAGTAGTGTGCCCTCCTTTTCTTCCCTTTTTCCCTATCTTTGGTATTTTAATCACTGCCTTCTATTTAGAAGCTCTGCCTCCTGCAGTCCCTTCACAACATCTGATGAAGTAAGCCCACTGCTTAAGAAAGCTTATGCTATACATCTCTTATTTAGTTAGTCTTTAAGGTACACAATCTACCCTGTGTTCTGCCTGACTTCAGACTACCATAGCTAACTATACTCTTACCATTTTCATGCCGTTGTCTGTGAAATAAGTGGAACTTAACAGTATTTCAGGGAATGAAAAACAGATATTTTCTGCATCTGTTTTATGCTTTAATCTTTCTTTTTGTGTTTAAAAAAAATGTTTCCTGGGAATAGCAGTAAGGTATTCCTTGATCTCCAATTGGCCGTTGAATGTTTTAGTTTGGAGGCATGATTCTAGTACTATCAAAGGGGTTGAACTTCCATAACTCAGTGGGAGTTCAATGTGCTTAGGAAATCTGTTCCTAAATTTTTGAGAGGTATACATTAATAATTGCTCTTTGGCCTTTCAGTTTTGAGCTCTTTTTTGGCTATTGCTGGAAGCCTTCTTGATTGGCACTGTTAACCAAAACAGATCCTGGCTTCTTAAAGAAATGGGATCTTAAACATATCTCTTGGACAAATTTAAGCAGCTGGAGCAGAACCCACTACCTGGAGCAACACTGTATTAGGGGACTCGTTAAGCATGTTAACTACATTTGGTAAACTCCCAAGAACTTAATTGTTGCAATGATGGTAGTTAGGTTGAATGGTCTGTAGCTTTGTATGGCTGCCTATCATCTATTCTAAACTGACTCAAAGTGTTTTGTATAATTTATCTCAAGATAATTTGTATAAATGGATTTCAATAGCTATGTACCTTGAGCCGTACAAAATATAAATTGTACTGGCTATTAAGTGAAAATGTTAATGTTTATCTTATTGAATAAGCAATAGAATGGAAGTACTGTCTGTGGTAATAATTTACATGCTGATTTAGTAATTAATCAGAAGGCTAACTAGATTGTTGCAGATATTGAAACAAAAGAAAGAAAAAAAGACCAGAGGCACATTTACGTAATATAAAGATATGGCTGCAGTTTAAATTCTGACCATTTGTGGAGTCACAGATTTTCCCTGGAGGTCCCAGCTACCATAATTCCTGGCTTCTGGTTTCCACACATTTTCCTGGGAACTGTTTATTCTTTCTTGGACCCTTCAGTAATAGAATATATTACTCTCATGAAAGCCCTACCTGTTTTACTCATCAAAGAAGTCTGAAGATTCACATGGTTGATTCTTCATCACAATTGATTCACTATGAAATGTATTGCAGAATAAAATTATTTGTAAAACATTACAAACACACATATACAAAAAAGGCTGAAAATGTATAAGAAAACAAGAAATGGGTCAGACTAATGTTTTATCTAGCTCAGTATCCTGTTCCCAAGAGTTGCAGAGGTGGATGCTATAGAAGGAGAGCATTGAACTTGGTAGAGCTAGAGTGATCTATCACCTATCCAGTACCCTCCCTCTCATCCAGCATTATTGTTCAGAGAAGGCAGAGGAAACATCTCCAACTATTTTGTTCAATAGCCATTAATAGATCTATCATCCATTAATTTATTTAGTCCCTTTTTGAACCTGGCTATGCTACCTACCTCTACCACATCCTGTGGCAATGAAAAAGCGTTGGAGCAGTCCAGCTAACAGCAACCCCAAAAGTTATACTTTATAAAAGATGACACCTTTTAAAAAACTGTATTAGGAAGTAAACAAATAAGGAGTTACTGTGTCTGGATACTTTCTCAAATAGTCCTCTGTCACGCCACCAACTTTGCTTTCTGAATCAGCCTTAAATTTGGTCCCTAAAATTTCTAAATATATAGTCATGTCAAGAGACATAGGAGGAGACTATTGAAAATGAATTCCTTTGAATAGAGGAAATAGGATTTCACAATGTTTTATAGCAGGAATGTCAACCATACAGTATATGGTTAGATTCAGCCCATGGAATTGTTTCCTCTGGCACGTGGGACCCATGGTGGGCCAGGAAATTTGGGGGTGAGGCTAGCAGGGGGCAAGGCCTGCTGCAGAACTTGTGGCAATGGAGCCCTGTTGGGCCTGGCTGTGATGATGACACGGCCCTGCTTTGCTTTGCAGCAGTTTAGCCATCCACTTGCACTGCTGTCTCTGTCACTGGCTGGTCCTGAAACCACCACCTGGCTCCTTGTGCTGACTCTGACATAGCTGTTGCCATCACGACCACTGGCCCCACAGCTGCCAGGTTGTGGTCAGTCCTATGGAGAGCCCCATGGTCTGGCCTGGGGGGGCAGGATGAGTTTGACACTCCTGCCTTATAGTGCTACATTATTTTGACCTTTGCTTATAATTTTGCATTTTTCAATAGATAATAGTAGTTGAACTTGCAATTAAAAAATCATCTTTCAATTAAGAAACCTGGAAACGACTTATGGAATGTAGCTCCTGTGTTCCCTGGATAATCTATATAATCCTCTTATAGCTGAACACCCCATTTATTCCAGGGGTGGGCAATTATTTTGTGTGGAGGGCCGCTTACTCAGTTTTGGCAAGCCATCGAGGGCCGCATCACAGCCAGCCAGGGGCAGAACAATATTAATTTTCTAATCTTTTTAGGGGCCCTGCAGGCCAGATAGGCTGGACTGTTAGGTCACAGCTGGCCTGCGGGCCGCGTTTTGCCCACCCCTGCTTTATTCCTTCTTTCTCCCTTGCAAAATCATTGGAAGACTGGGCACAGTCTCTTCCATAACTTAGATCCCCTTCTACTGCCTTCAAACACATTTGACCACAGTAGATTTTGACAGTGGTAAAAGCTGACAAGGTCCAGAACTGTTCTCATAGAATACCTCCTGTTTGACCTTAGACTGTGTGTCAGTGAACATTAACATTTGATTGTCAAACAGTGTTTTTATGCTGATATTCAGATGCACATCATTTGGAATATAGCTAAAAGGAATAACAGAGGAAAAAGGAGAAAAAAACCCTGTGATTTCCAGTGACATTAGTCTAAATCCAGGTATCATTTTATTACCAACATTGTTCTGTCTTCAGTTACCTGGGACAGATGAGAAGTGTTTTGGGTGATACATGTTGCTGATTAAGTCCTCCACAAACTTCTGATTTAAATTGATATTGGTGTGTGTAAATCAGTAAGAAAAAAGGAACATTTGCCAAGAAAGTTCCAGATGTCATTTCTTTTGATACTGCTGTTTTCAAAAGAA